AAATTGCTTCCTTTTCCTTTTTTTGGAGATTTACACTTCCTTGTCCAGTCAGCTAAACGTCTATGCAGTTGGGCTCCGCTCGCTTGGTTATTTTGTGTTCCCCGTTATTTCGAGTTTCAAACCATTTCCCTTGGATTTGCCCTTCAGTCATGTACTATCGGCTATTTCGAAATCTCGCTAGTTCGAAATATTTTTCGTTTCCCCTGCGAATTCGAAATAGCGGGATTCAACTGTATATTAAAGATCGATTTGCACTCGTAAATAATCGTATGTCTTAATACAACTGTTGAAAGCAAAAAAAAGGTTTTGTCATGTACACCTGCTGTGCATTTAGCAGGAACAAAAAACCTTGCTAACAAAAGGAACTCAATTAAAATAATTGAAGTCTTCGCAATCGATGAATACTTACTGGCTAAAAAGAAAACCATACTACTGTTTGTTGGACCTTTTCTTGTGCACCGCGCATTGACGTTATCTATGCGTCTTTCCCGTGATATAACAGTAATTAACGAAGGAGCCAAGCAGAGGCTTGTAGAGCTAAATGAGAACATGGATGATTGGGGAACACTGGGGTAGATTAGGATTGACGAAATTGAAACTTCTGTGTTAAACTTTTTTCAACTTCATCCATGATGAAGGTTTGCTTGCATTTCGACTAATTTTCTTGCGTAGAAAGAAGTTGGATGTTTAGTGGTCGAAAGGTGTTCGGCATCATGCAACAACATTGGACAGGACGGTGAAAGAAAAACTGTATCTATTGAACTGGTTCAAAGGAGTTTCCTATATATCTAATTTCAAACTTTGATAGCTTCGACCTCTCAAGCTGTTCAAACCCCTCTGCATTAGTGGTGGATTTTTTTAATCATTTGAAAGCACGAGCTTAAAATGAATGAAGCCGAAATATTGTCTTCTTCTTGCGCACCTCAACAAATCTCTCACCAGTGGAAAGGAACTTAAATGAAAACCAGTGACGTTTATCAGCTTTGTTTATTATTTTGAAATGTTCACTGCCTCTCTAGTGAGCTTAACCTCTATGTATGATTTCTAATCATAAATTATCGTGACCTAACAACAAATGGGGTCCATCTTGTGCACCTGCGCGAAGCTGCAACTAATCATTTTGACAGTAATTCAAGTAAAACAATTGGTGTTTGACAATTTTATTGGAAACCGATTCCTCGCTAAAAGCTTTTTAATGAAAAGAAAACTAATTACATTGCTGTATGCGAGACACACATTTGAAGTGAATTGATTCTGCCAGTCTCTTAAACGTTATCTGACTAATTGAGCTTGCTTCTCACGATTTGCTATTCCGGTCTCGTGTAGGAAAAGGTAGATTGTAGGTGGAACTATGTGTAATGTGGGCTTCAGACTCTACTGAATAGGGGCTCTTGCATATTCTAGAATGTTCGTTATAATCGTCAGTGGAACAGTCGACGATCATAGACAATTTTAGTAACACCAATAAATCGATCAATCTTGATTCACTTTTACTAAGAAGAAAAGTAAATTCTTCTGAAAGAATTTCAAAACGATAACCATTTTTGTTTTTCAAAAATCAAGCCGCCATCATGAAACCATATTAGAGCTGCACAAGGTCACAAGAAAGACACGAAGGCGTAATAGAAAGTTAAACGTGCAGTATTAACTTTACAAACTTGGACGTCATAGAATTATGACCATATTTCACAGACCCTTTGTCTTTTGACAAGTTTCCTGATGGTTCATAACATGATAAGAAAACTGTATTGTCAAATGGAACACTACATCATGATCATGAATAATCTTAATTTTTAATTACTAGCATTTACATAAAAATACCTCATCCCATTCAAGCTCCGTAACAGAAGGAAGTTCATTTCAGGAAGAGCACTTTCCAGTTAACTGGTTTACTTTTAACTTACCCAATGGCGTCGAATACCTCAGAGGTCAACCACAGTTATTCTACCGGTCAAGATATCGCCTTCGCAGTGATGTATTCGTTTATCGTCATCATCGGTGTGCCCGCTAACGGTTTTATTATCACTATCGTGCGAAAAACACCTTCAATGCACACAACAACCAACTATCTCCTTATGAACTTGGCTGTGGCGGATCTAGTAACTTTAATGCTGTGCCCGGGAATATACGACTTTGCTCTGAACAAAGAGCGGCTCGAAAAGACTTTGGGAGATTTCATCTGCAAGTTTTTCGCGGGCAAAGCAGTTGTTCCAATCACAATAAACGCGGCTGAGGTAACAGTTTGCGCCATTGCCGTGGAAAGGTACCTCGCGCTTGTCAAGCCGTATTACGCCAGATTAAGATTAACCAAGAAACGGGTTCCTCCTGTTGTTGCATTAATATGGACAATTGCTGTGTTATGCTGTATTCCTGACTTAACAACGAATACGATAGAGCCAAGCAATCATTCAACTTATCCTTGTAAACGTCCATGGAGCCTAGACGAATATTTCCATCACAAAGGTTTTATCATTTTCAGCGGCGTTTTCTTTGGGCTCATTCCCAGTATCGTCA